GTTCTTCGTGGGGTGAAACCAAAGCAAGGAGCAGCAGGCGGTGCCAGTTCAACCCCGCGTGCTCAGCGTGGTGTGACACCCGTGCCGTGTCTCTGTGGGGCGGTCCTGGGGGCAGGCAGCAGCTCTCATCTGCTCCTGACAAGATGCTGAGCCCTGCTGGCCGAGGTGCAGCTGGTGAGGGCCCGAGCTCTCCGCAGACACGAGGGATGCTGAGCAGGCTGTTAACGGCTGAGCACGTTTCTCATCTGCGTTTCCTGACGGTAAACAGGAGTGACTTATGGAGGCAATTAGAGTGGGATGGAGTAATTCGATGTGACTGAACGCCACATTGCAGGGATCACTTACTAATGACAGGGGGGGCAGGATAAGGAAGGGATCTGAGGAGTAGTTTCCCCCAGAGTGAAAAGCTGCCCCCCTTCCCCAGTGAAACAGCTGTTCTGGCAGTGCCTCCAAGTGTCTGTACAGTGACCCTCCTCTCCCTCTTTATCAGCAAAGGCACAAGAAAAGAGAAGCACCTGTTGCTCCTTGTCCTTCACGTGCTCAGTAGTTTGCAGATGTGGGTTCATTTTCTTATTCTCTCTCTTGACAAAGATTCCTGACGAAATATCTCCTCTCAAAGGGCTGCCTGTCAAACAGGGGGGAAAAAAAGTGATTGCTCTCTGCCTCTGTTCCTCCTTTCCCTGTGTTCTTTGCGGTTACCAAAGAGTTTACTGTCCATGCTCCCAGTGCAGTCTGGACATTTCACTTGTGGGACAATGATGGGAGAAGAGATTGAGAGGGAAGTGGCCAGGGCTCATCTCTCAGACAGTTTCTCTGATCATTAGGAACCTTGTCAGGGTTGTTCTTCTGGATCTTCAACACTTGTACACTGGAATCATAGAATGGCTTGGGTTGGGAGGAACCTTAAAAGTCATCCAGTTGATTTCCTCTGGGAGGTGTTCCTCTTCCTTCTGCATGAGGAGATGAGCTTGCAAGTGTAACAGCAAGCTCCCTGAAAGCCATGAGGAGAGAAATCCAAATCAAAAGAGATGCCCAAAAGATCCATGTTGGTTGCTTGAAAACATCACTGCTGTCAAAACCGGCCTCATGGATCCTGCAGGCCTGACCCATCCCTGCCTGCCGATGCCGTGGGTGAAACAGGAGAAGGGCACTGGGCTGAGGATTAACAAGGGGGAAGCACAAGGGCAGGATCCGGTGATGAAAACTGAAAGGAGGGTTAAAAAAGAAAGTTCCCAACATCTCCCTGAGAGTAGCTCAGGCAGGAGGAATTTCACTGGCTCCAGAGAACCCCGCTGTGTGTCCGTGTCAGTGGGGAGCCTTCAGCTGTGGCACCGTCTGGGCAGCACCCACAGCAGCCGGGAAGGCTGACCAGGACGTAACCTGTGTGGCTCTGTGTCTGGAGGCCAGGAAGAACACGAGCTTCCTCGGGCTGTGCGTCATGTTTTGGGCTTTGTACAAACCACCTCTTCGGCAGACGTAAACACTCGGGAGAAGCAGATGCAGACTTTCCAGATTCTCTTCTGCTCGTGGTTATCTCCCCGCTGTGGCGTGGCGGGGAAGGAACAGGGAGGTTGCAGGGTTGTGTGATTGATGGGCATTGCTGCGGGTGTCCCTCCGCTGTGAAACGTGTCTGTCCCCCAGTTATTTTTGATTTCTCCTCGCAGATAGCTCAGCTGAGCACACAGTTAGTTTGGGACTGCTAATGCAGTGCACTGGCTGTCTGGGAGCAGCTGATAAAGTACTCATGCTGGGTTAAGATTTTCCAGAAAAGAGATAACTTTTGCAGATGGCTTGGGCTGACTCCTTTGGCTTCAGCTTTTTTATTGATAGATGAAAACACACGACCAAGTTATGGAAAGCTTTAAAAAGTGTCCTCCCCTACCCTGCTCTTTTGACAGTTCCTGTGTTGATAGTTTCTCTCCTTGTCTCGTGTGACTACAGTAGACACCAATCCTGCTCTTCAGCCTTGTGTCTTTTCTGCATTGAGGAACTCTGTTACCTTCATCATCCTCTTCTCAACACACCTCAAAGAGATCAAGGCAGGCCTTCCAGACACAGGTTTTCAATCTTCTTTTCCTCCCACACAGCTCTCTTTTCCAGTGGAGTCACGAAGCCATGTAATGGTTTCCAAAGAATCCCTCCTAAATTTCCAATATTTAACATCAGATTTTCTAGTTTTGGAAACACCAGGTTGTTGCCAACCCAAAGTTTAGGGATTGATTGCACAAGCAGACTAACTAGCCATTCTGAAGGACAATAACTCTTATGAGCCAAGCAGTGGTGAGCAGTTGGCAGGTGATGAGGAATAACAGGATGATCCTTCCACTTGCACTGCCATAAGCAGAAAAGACCCAGAATGGAGGAGAATCACTTATTTATGGATTCTTCTGCATCTGGGATGCTCAGCCTGGACTTCCTTTCTGGTCAAGGGTCCTCTGTAGCCATTGATTAAGGGTATGATTTATCTTAGTCTGAAGTTTTTGTTTAAATAGAACAATAGAACAGAACATTTATGTTCCAAAAGCTCCTTTTTTTTTTTTTTTTTTCCTCCTACTGGTTATAAAAGGATCCAACTAAACTTTAGACTTTCTGAATCTGTCCAAATGTGATACCATGCTTTATGTTAAGGGTGAAGTTCTACCCGAGGCTCAGCCTCTATCACTTGCTCAGTGTCCTAATTAAAGGGCAAAATCTCCAGGCTTTAGTACTCAAACTTTTTCACAAAGGTAAATTGGCCAGATAACACAATTCCACAGCAGCCCATCCCAACCCAGCCTTTTCCTCCCCTCCCCTCAGCTGCTCAACTGTTGCCCTTTAGGAAGTGATAATCAAAGACCACACAAAGATAATGGCTCATGATTGTCCGGGAGGAGCTCTAGGAAGCTCCTCGTGGTGTGTCCTTCTATAGGAAGCAAACCAACAAAGTGCTATGGAAGATGTTTGACCACCCCACCATCTGGTGAGAATTTGGAGCAAATGTTAAGTGTTGGTTTTGGGAAGCCAGTGATTTTTGAAGACTGAAATTTTGGGTGTTTCTTTTTTTTCCCTTTTTTCCCAGCAGCTGAGCATTACTGTGACTGCTCTGGGGGAAAAAAAGGAAAGTTTTCAAACTCTAGTGAGCATCTGGTGAATTGTGGATGATCCCAGGGCAGCCATGATAAAAATGTGCAGGGTGGATAATGAGTTGGGTTTTTCTGCAGTGTTGACTCTGAATGAACTGGGCACTTTAATGATGTGAAATGGCTGTTTAAAGGTAAGTTTTTCCTATTCAGATAAACTGTGGAGATATTTTACGCTCACACACTGCTTTTCAACAGAGCTCCTTCAAGATAAGCTCACATAAAATTGTTCTCACATAACTGTGACAGAGGAAATAATTTTTAACTGTAATTTACAGTTTGAGGTAGAGTAGAAGTTAAGCACTTTTTTTCCCTCGTTTCCTGTGATTGTGTCTATTTTTTTAGCAAGCCTGTTATAGGAGATGGCTGAATATTTCTCAGGTGTGTTGTTGTTTCTAGGTGTGCCCAAGTACTGGCAGATGTTTGAAAAATGTACCTGGTCTGTCTCCTACCCAAGAAAATGCCAAGAGATTTTTTTGGTTGTGAAATCCATCACTTTGCAAACATTTTTGCCATTTTTTGTGTGTAGGTGCCATCCTTACTTCGGTGTTAAGTTTCTCGTCAGTCAAATGTGGTTAAGAAGTTTCTATCCTTTCCTCTCAGTCCTCTCATAGAATCAGAGAATCCTAAAGTGGTTTGGGTGGAGGGCACCTTAAAGACCACCCAGTTCCACCCTCCTGCCACGGGCAGGGACACCTTCCACTATCCCAGGTTTCTCCAAGCCCCGTCCAACCTGGCCTTGGACACTTCCAGGGATGGGGCAGCCACAGCTTCTCTGGGCAACCTGTGCCAGGTCTCTGTACATGTATTAAGTGGACCATGAAGGGCAAAAAGAGGCTGTGGTTGCTGCCAGGCGTTTGCCTGATAATAAACCAGTTTGAGGGTGCCTGAATGCTCTCAGGGAGATGTGGGGGGGATCTGCACTACTTAAATTTGTTGAATAAAATAGTCTCTTAATACACTGCTCCTTCTGGATTGCCTTTTGCAAATGTGGTGCAACTTCAGGGCTCATTTCCACCAGCTGAGTGGCCCAGATGGGAATGGGGAAAAGATGATGTTGAAAACAGTATTTTCCTTTCTTGCAGCAAGGAGGATTAAGTCTACCTTTGATAGGGCCAAGGATGGAGTGTGGGTAACACCAGACTACCCAGAAGCTTTGGTCTTTGTCTCTCTAATTTGCACTAGTATGACTGAGAAGAATAGATGGGGTTTTAAATTGTACCTTCTCACTTTTTTTGCAACCTAAAGAAAGACTATTTTGGTCCCTGCCCTCATCTTACTGAAGTCACCTCTCAATTTGCTCAGAGAGGTTGTGGCTGCCCCATCCCTGGAAGTGTCCAAGGCCAAGTTGGACAGAGCTTGGATCAACCTGGTTTAGTGGGAGGTGTCCCTGCCCATGGCAGGGGCTTGGAACAAGGTGATTTTTAAGGTCCCTTCCAACCCCAACCATTCTGTGATTACAGAATTTTCCTGTGAGGTGATGTTCACAGCAAGGCACATCCCCCACTCTCCCCATTCTTATGGGTGATGAGTCAAGGGATGCTCAAGTCAGGGATGCTCCAAAAACTCGGAACCAAACTCTCGGCAGTGATTTGTATCTCACAAACAGGATATCACAGTACAGCACCTTGTGCATATTCTGCTTCTTTGTTAAGTAAAGAACATGGGGAAAGAGTTTTCCTTTTTAAAATCTCTTACTCTTTCTGGCCCTTTTGATTTGAGCTTTCTTTAGTACCAAAGTTTGATGAAGGGAGGAGAGGGAAGGGAACCCTCCAAAGGTTTCAGGAAAAGGAGAAAGAGTAATTTTTTAGTGTCCCTCACCAAGGAGAGATAAGGCTGACTGAACCCCTGCTGACAGCAGGCTCTGCTTTCTTTCCACAGTCTCCATTGAAGATATTCGGGATGTGAGGTCAGGCCATAAAACAGAAGGTATGGAAAAATACGCCAAGGATGTCCCGGAGTATCGCTGCTTTTCCATCATCTTCAAAGACCAGCGGAAAAACCTGGACCTCATTGCGAGTTCAGAGGATGATGCCAACCACTGGATCTCCGGCCTTGGGAAAATCATAGCCCACAGCAACTCCATGAACCAGAAACAGAAACTCCAACAGTATCCTTTGCCTTATAAAATGATTAATCACAGACAAAGATGCACTTGTCTTTCCCTGTGGGTGGAGATAGTAGAATAACCTCCTTTTTTCCCCTGCTGGCCCTGGGCACTGAGTTTTCCCTCACGCTGATTTTTGCACCCAGGCAAACTCTCTGGTTTCCAGTGCTTTTTCCCCCTTGTTTTATGGTGATACCAGCAAGAGTGGATTCAGGCTTAATGTAGCTCCTCAAGCAAAGAATTGCCTCTTTCATGGAGCTCCAGATAAAACAATCATTACTTTTTTGTGTTCTTCAGGGGTCTGTTTCACTTGCATTGCAGTGAACTCCAGGACAGGCACTTCTTGGCAAGGCATGAAAAGCCCATGCTGTTTATCGTGTTTCTCGGTAATACAAGGCAAGGGAACTGATTCTTCTCACTGCCAAATTTGCTCTGGGGTATCTCCACTGACTCCAGTGAAATTACTCTGAATTTGCCTCAGCATGGCAGGAGGTTTTACCCTGAAAAAATCTGCAGTTGCTCTGGTGACTGTGCAGGGATCGGAAAGGAAAAGGAGCAGAGCAGGGAAGGAGAGTGAATTCCTTATGAAATGGGGAGAGAGTTTGTCATTGGGTGAGATCTTGGCTCTGCTGAATTCACAGGGAATCCTCCCTGGGGCTGCATTTCACTCAGTAAGTTGCTTTATGACCCTGGGTGTCACATGTAAAAAGAGAGAATGTCTGTTTGTGGATTTGCACATATTTGTGTGTGGATTTCTCGGTCCCTGTGTGTCCGAGACCCCGACTGTGACATGTGAACCTGCTGGCTGATTTCACCCTGATTTGACAGACAGTCATAAAATATTAAGTCCCTTTAAGCTTCCCAAAGATAGGAATCCAGCTTTCAGAGAGGACAACCAGACCTCTCTCTTGGTGAGAGAAGGCTGTGTGAGCTTCATGGCTTGTTCAACATCAAAGCATCTGCAGAGGGGAGGGGAGATCCAAAATCCTCAGCTGGGGAAAATCCCGGAGCTGGAGTTTGAGCCTAAGCAGGCGATAGGGGGTCTTGCCCTCAGTCAAGGCTTCACCCCATGAGGGTTCTCTGCTGGGTGATAATGTACTGATGGTGAAGGAGATGGTGCATAAATGCTGAGCTTTCATCAAGCTTTACTCTTCTGTGGGTTCTGAAAGTCTAATAAGCACTTGCACAGCCATAGTGCTGTTTGTTTAAAAGAATCAGACTCCATTAGTTCTGATGTGCCTGGGATGGGATGCTGTGTTTATCTCCTGCACTATGAGTGTCTTTTTGGATGGTTTTTCAAGCTCTGGGCTCTATGGTCACTCCTCAGCCACCCCACAGTGTGTAGGGGAAAATCTGGGTAACACAAAGCTGTCCCTGGAGCTCTTCAAATTGAAGATATTGCTGAAACACTTCCCCATAAGAAGAGACAAGATTGCTAAGGGGGAAAATAACAATGACATTTGCTAGGGAAGAAGGCTGTAAATTTCCAGCATGGAAAAGTGCCTCTCTGTCTTTGGAAAGCAGAATCGAAGCTAAATAGGGTGGGTAGGCAAACCATATTTCTGGAAGAGTAATTACCATGCCGTGCTGGCTTCCAATCTGGGATTGTCTCAGGCCATTTAACGTAACCTGGAATTACAGAACAGCATGATATCTCATTTGAAATGTGATGATGTTTAATTAAAGCCTGGGTTTTTTTAAATTTAGTCTGCCTTCACCGGGTTTGCTTGGCAGTGTGGGCTCACTCAGATCTTGCTTAAACCTCAGGAGTGTGCTTTGCATCTGTGAGCACAGAAGGGGAAGAGTCAGGAGATGAGGGGAAGTGTTGTGTCCCCTGCCTGTCCCCCATGAGTGGAGAACTGACTTGCACTGTGTCTTTTCCAGCCTCCCAAAGCCTTGCAAAACAAGCAAGGAATGTGCAAGTTTTTGAAAACAAGGATTGAAAGCAAAAACCCTGCTATTTTCAGGTGGGGATTGCTCTGCTTATAATATACTGTGGTGGAAAGGGACTTGATTGAGTGTCTTATGTGTCTGTCCAGTCCTGCTTTCCTGCCCAGACAAAACCCTCCCACATGCTTGGTGAGCATTTCTGACGTTCTTATACACACAGTTATGCTTTATTAAGCCTCAGATTCAACCCTGCAGCAAGCTGGCATGGCTTATTTAGCAAATATTGCAGGTATGTGTGCAGGGAAGGCTTCAGAGCAGAAAATACAGAGGACTTTTCATGTGAGCAGGGTGGCACCGTCTGCTCCGGTTCTGGGATTTATGTATGAGCTTTTCTTCTGGTTTGAAAGCACTTACCAGAAGGTTTTGCAGCATTTTCTGTTCTGAGCACATTCATGGGATATCTGCCAGGTAGTTTCAGTCACCCCCCCCCCCCTTTGGTTTCTCATAGAGAAGTGGTAGCCCTGGAGCTGGCATATCCTTTACAAACAAGAGGCAGGAAGCAGGCTCGCTCTGGATGTGTACAGGAGTGGGAGCAGCTTTTTCCTGGTCCACACAGGCCCACACGGGCACACAAGGTGAAAGAAAGATCCACAGCCAGGCCTGAAAAATGTCGTTTGCATCAGGTGGGAAGAATTTGAGTTGAAGTGCTTGGTTGATCCAGCTCCTCTAAGCTCCCCTGAAGTCAAGGGGATAGAGATGGATGGGGAGTTTGGGTGGTTTTGGGTCAGAATGCTGCAAAAATATTTGCTGACACAACAGGCTGAAGCCCCAGTTGTCTCTACACTCCATTTTCTCTTTTTGCTGCTTGTCCTTGCAGTGTGAGGGCTCCCTGTGTGTGTCTGGGCTCTCTGATTTCCCTCCTGCATTTCTCAGCCTCCTGGGAAAGGATCTAACAGGAAAGCATCTTCCATTCACAGGTGGGACCTGGGCATACTCTTCTGCAGATGCATTTACTGCCCAAATATCGTCTTCCAGAGAGGACTTTGGGGATGTGCCTGATCCTGGGTGCTCGTGACCAGTGGAAGTGGTGCAGGCTTTTTAAGTGAGGTGGTTTTTTGCAGTGGTTGGCACGAAGAGAGCAGTTTCTATGCACAGTTACTGTTATCCCACCCTGCTGCTCCTGGATTTCCTCTTGGCTGGCTGGAGCTGGGCTTTACTCCTGCCTGTTGTTTTTAGGGAAGGCTGTGGAGGGGAGCTGAGGTGCAGGGTTGGGTGTGAATGGGTGGCACCACTGAGGGCACCACGTTCCCAGTCTGAGCAGACCCTCTTTGGAGCACGGCTGGTGGAGGGGGTGTCCTGCACCCTGGGGTGGATGTGGTGTGCTCCCTTCCTCTGCTCTTGGGAGCTTCATGACTCAAACTTGGTTTTCTGGGAAGAATCAGTCCAAGCCAGAGCCTTGTTCAGGGCCCTGGAGTGTCCTTGGGAGCAGGGAAAACCTAGCCTGTCTTTATTTTGGTTTCCATGCCTAAAGAAGGGGAATATTAATATTACCAGGCTAAGACGGATGCGGGGTGAGGTCATTGCTTAGCACCTGCCAAGATTTTTAAAGCCAGAAAGTTCAACTTTCCATGAGACAAACAATACTTACAAACAGTTTACACATATTTCCATTGCTAGGAAATGTTTGAGTGCAGTGGAAGCCGTGGTGAACACTCTGTTTCAGGTTATGTCTACAGCCCCTAAGGCTGTTGATGCCCTTTTTTTGGGGTCATTTTGAAAGGCCCAGTTAAAATGTTACAGGACTATGTGCCTCAGCTGGTATTTGCTAATCCTCAGCTTTACTCTGATTGACATTCAGGTTGGGCATTTTTTTGGAAGCTTTTCTAGGATGGGTTTGAAGCCATGCGAGATGTGGAAGGTTACATTCACAGAGATCAAATTTTTGCTTTGATCATTTTTCCTATTGAAAAGTAGATATTTTTTCTGGATGACCTTTTGTATTTGACAGTAAAGCAAATTAGACAGTCAGTTCCATGATGCAAAAAAACCATTTTTTTTTTGTTGTTTAAAACTGCAGTGTATCTCGACTCTCTAAAATTATTTTCCCAAGAGACTGAAAGAAAACGGGAGACCCAGTTTAAATTATGACATTACATTAAAAAGCTCATTCTTATAGCAATTACTCCAGATCCATAGATATAGATATAGATATACTAAAGTGATTAAATCATGCTTTCATGAGGGGAAGCCAAGACCCACAGAGTTTGGTTTAATTCTGCTCACAACAAAGTTCTCAGGACAGATAGGTAGAAACTCCTAAAAATGTAGAGAAGCTGAAGTTGAGTTCAAAAATTAATATTAGTGCTTCTTTTGGAGTTCAGTGTTCCCCGTGATATACTGAATATTGACCAAATCTGCAACAATGAGTTTACCAAGCTCCTCTTGGGAGCTCTGTTCATTCTTTCCTTTCTCCCCTTTTAACTGTCTGGAGCAGAATGTACTTTCTGTCATAAAAGAGAAATCAGGCTGTTTCTGGCCGTGGCCAGAAACTCCTACAGGGTAAAGAGAGCTGATCCAGCCTTGGCCAGATGGTGAAAAGCTTCTCCCAGGTCATGATTCCTTGTATCACAGCACATTTTCCTTCTGCCAAAGCACCGTTTTGCTCTGTTGGAGCAGAAGGTGAGATGATTTCAGCTGTTCAGGGGGACTGTGCTGATTTACAGCAGCTGGAGGGGTGGTTCAGAGCCTTCAGAAGAGGATTTCCCCCCTGGCATGTGCAGCAGAAGGGTGGTGTTTAGGGTAGGCACTGACCTGGAAAGATTTCCCTTACATCACCCTGCAGCTGGATTCACACCTGCCTGCGCAAAGCTGATAAAAACAAAGACAACAAGATGAGCTTGAAAGAGCTCAAAGATTTCCTGAAAGAAGTGAACATTGAAGTCGATGACTATCATGCCAAGAAGATTTTCCAGGTAATGGGAGCGAGCAGATCAAGTGTTTGCTGTTGGTTGAGGTCGAGATCTCCCACAGCTTTCAGCTTGGGTTGGAGACCTGACCTAAAGTGAACTCTGGGCTTCTTTTCTTGTACCAAGGAGGGACTCTCAGTTTTTGGTGCTCAGCAGATTCCCACTAAGTTAGGCCAGAGCAATGCTTTTGGTGAGGGTGTGTTAAGACCTTCATGACTGGTGCCCAATTTTGCCACAATGCAGAAGATGAGATGCAAACATGGATAATGCAAGAAAAAAAGGGAAAAGCAAAGTTCAAGTGCACTTTGAGTCCCAGGTGATTCAGAAGTTCTGTGTGCCATGACCACACGTCAGTGCCTAAATCTGGCTGAAGTTTGGTTGCATTTGTGAACCCAGATCCTCATCTTCTCAGAGCAGGGGGATGCCAAGTGACACATATAAACAAAGTACAAATTAAGAAAAAAAACCCTTTCCAGATCCATGACAGATAGGTGACATTGTACCCAAGCCTGGACCAGTCTGATTGATTTAATACTCCCAAGGCATATTTAATCTGGTCAGGGAGGTTCACCTCTAAATTCTCGAGATTTGGCTTGCAGGCTGAGCCTATCAGAAGATAAGAAAGGGATGAGAAATTCTCACTTATTAAGCCTTTGGTTTCTCTCTGAAGAATCCACCCTGCTGAGGTGAGATAAAACATCTGGATGATTTCCAAACTTCCATCCTGTCTGAAGCAGGATTTGAATTAATGGGTGTGCAGTTTGTTTCAGAAATGCTTTCTTCTCATCACTGGTAAACACGTGGGTGGTTTCAGGCACCAGGCAGCAGTTCTCCCCCTCCCTCCTGTGAGCAAATAGCCTTCCACCAAAGGAGCTTCAAGTTTCATAATCCTTCTTTTCTGGAGGTCTCTCTCTCTGGTAACTCTGCAGGAACTGGGGGGAAGGTCATCAGCAGATCTTAAAGAATTTCTGCTTGCAAAATCTTCCAGCTCTGATTGGTGTATCCCATCCTTTATTCCCTGCTCAAGAAGACCCTGGAAGGACAGCAGGAAGGCTAGGAATCCTCTGATTGAGTTGTATGACTCCACTGCAGTCAGCACCAACACTTGACACTGCCTTAGAGTCTGTGTAGGTGAAGCCAGTGCAGACCAGGGTGTGATTCACCTCATCCTAAAGGATACAGCTCACTTATGTGAGATGAATCACTCCCTACATCTTTAAACATAAACAATCTCAAAAAAACCCCACAAAAAACACAAACTCCAAACCAAACCTTTATTTTAGAGGCACAGTCGCCTCTCATTTAATGAACCTCTTTTGCTGTAACAAGAGTTACAAGGGAGCTTTAGGAGAGGAAACTTGATGAAGTTCAGTTCTTTTTGCTTAAGAACTCCAAGTAATTGCTAAATCTTGATTCAACCCACTGAAATGCAGGCAGGTAGCTGAGGTGCCATCATTAGGCATGTAATTGTTAAGCTTCCTGCATAGCCACTGCAAAGAGAGGCTCTTTGGAGGTTAATTCAGATCTCCTGAGGGCTGATTTGCCTCCAGGAAGAGTCTGTCTTGCTCCTAAAGCAATTACATTTTCAGTTTACATCCTGCCTCAGCTTAGATGGGCTGTGACATTAGAGCCTATTAAAAGGTTGGTCTTTGCTGTCTTGGTGAGCTTTTCTTCATTTAGTCACAGGAAGGAAGGGTGATCAGAACTTCAGGAGAGGGCTGCAGGGCAAGTTCTCACATTATTCTTGCCTTCCATCACATAATTTGTCCTCATCTGGGTTTGAAACACTCTTGAGTAAGATATTTGCAACGCAACCAGTGCAAAGCTCCTCTCATTGCTCACTTCATTTCAACCTGAATATTCATTCTGGTGCATCAGGAAGGTGCTTTTTGTGGCAGACTGAGGGTCATTCAGTACTTATGGTTCATGATACAGACATGTGGGGCAAAACACGGGATTTTGGGTTGAGATTCTCTTTCTAATTTGGAGATCTTGCAGCCAAAGCAGAGGCAACCCACTTTTATACCATGCATCTGATCCGTCCTGGAATTTGATTAGGATGCCAATCCTATTGTCCTCTTTTCATCATAACCTCTAATGGCCACTCATGAACTGAATTCCCAAGGCAGATCACTTAAAATGCCACTTTTGTAGAAGTAATATCCCATCGTTTCCCCTGTCGTGTCTTAAAGCAGAGAACATCTGTAATTCACGACATCCCCACAGTCTCCACCAGTTGCTTTCCCTCTTCATATTCCTTTTGCAATTGCTAAACATCATGCTCAGTTCAGCTGGAGAGATCAGCCAAGGCCACAGCACAGGAGCATAGACATGGAAGCAAGGAAAAGGCAGTTCCTGGACCCTCAAACCTTATTTGGAGGTGTCTGTAGTACTGAGCATGTCACAGGTTGTCCCATCCCTGCAATGAGCCCGTGCCTTCTACTCAGCAGATTCTGAACTCAGGACAAGTTGAACTCTTTTCACTCCTGTCACTTCAGTCTGTGAAATGCTGAGCATCATGATAAATTTGGTATATATATGCTACATAAACAGATAGTGAGGGACTGCAGGGGAGGATTTGACAAAGATGAAAGTCCCTCATCATCTTGCTTGGGGCACTGCCAAAGCCACCGTGGCCACCACTGAGATCATTGGCAGAGCTAGGTTGAGATTAGCATCATGACTGGTTAAACTGAGACAAGCATTTTGGCCATAAAAGCCAGGAAAACAGCTCAGTCTGTCACAAGGGATCAAGGATGGAAAGCGATTTAATTCCTCTGGTTTGACAAGTTGAAGAATTCTGCTAGGAACAAACAACAAAACTAATATCAGGATTTGCCACAATAAAAAAAAAAAAGTCATTTTCTAATGAAAAATTGAACCTGGTAGTGTTTTAAATAAACTGGAAATACTTGTTATTGGAAAAGCTGTTGTCCTTCATGGAGACACTAAAATGCATATCCCAAGCTCCTAGTCATTCATGGCCAATCAAGTTCTTGGCTGTGGTGCTCTGTCAGAGCTGCTGTCTAGAGGAAAGTTTCAAACCACAGAGGAACATGGGGGCATGGAGAATTTGAATTACAGCTCCTTGAGAAGATGGTGTCTGATTTCAAATTTTGTGGAGAGTTTGTTACTTGGGGTTTGGATGAGAATGGAAACACCCATGGAAAGATGGATTTTTTTCATATCTAAATGTGCATATTTAATAGTTTTTTTGTGGTTTTTTTTTTTGTTTTATTTGGGTTTTTTTTGTTTTTTTTTTAAGTTGGTTTTGATGCCATCTTTGCAACCAGCCCTCCTACTTGGCAGCCTCCTGAGCCCTGAGCTCAGACCCACTAAGGTCGAGCTCCTTTTCACTTCGCTTACTGGATTTTAGGCCAAAATCTCTATCCACAGTTTAAGGGAGTTAATTGTTTCCTATATTCCTCTTGAGATCAAGAGTTACATTTCTCTTGAACCTTGATTTGTGCTTAAATTGTCCTGAGCTGTCCTTCTGGCTTAAGGTTTGCGCAGCACCCCGTGCGATGGAACTGAGGGCCACGCCTGGTGCTTTTGGTCACACTGCTAATATGAGTAAATGCTAATAATTGTAGCTGTTGTATGACTGTTGGCCTTGTCAGTGAGAGCCACTGTCATTGACCAAGTGCTTCTCCTTCACTGGGCAGTAACTGTCTCCAATTATTTTGTGTTCTGCGTTGTGTAGCCCTGGTGCAGATTACGGCTGGCGTATGCCAGAAGGAAAGAAGGTTTTCACTCCTTCTCCCCTCTACGTTTACAGCACTGTGACAAGTCCAAAACAGAGGCTCTGGAGGATGATGAGATAGAGGAATTTTACAAGATACTGACAGAGAGGAAGGAGATAGACAACATCTTCCAAATGTACTCAGATACAGAAGGGTTCATGTCCTGCCAGAACCTCGTGAGGTTCCTCTATGAGATGCAGCAGGAAGAAGATGCTGTTGTTGCTGCCCCTGCCTTAATTCAGAAATATGAGCCCAATGAAAGAGGTAGGTTGATAACCTTGGCTGGTTTGGTTCAAAATCTTGCTTTTTTTGGTGAACTATGAATGGTGTTACTACTCCTTTCTTCTGCAGTCATGTGCATTATTTTCTCCTCGAAGCTGCTTATAAAACACCACTCTTCTAGAGGAATAACATTATCAGTACTTGAGGAGAGGAGGGCAGAGCAGTGCCTGGGAAACAGCTCTTTTCAGTTTTGGTTTGGGTACACCATGCAGCTGGAGAGGGTTTGGTTCAGAGATAGCCAGAGGATGATGAAAATCCCAAGGGAAAGACTTGGATGGGTTATTCAAATGCCAAGACCTCACGTGGCTTTTCAAGGTCGAGAATGTAGCAGCATTTCTGTTCTCCAGAAGCTGGGGTGGAGGCAGACAGTGTTAAACATGGGCACCTGAAAAGCCCACAAGTGATGGGATCTGTGAGTTGAGGGCCAAGGAGGTGACAGCTGTTTAGGGGGGCAATCACAGAACTGTGTCTGCTCAGAATGGAGGGGACTCATGTTCAAGGAACCAACTCAGGATCATGGGCTGCTTTTGCACTACCCTGGTGTTCCCCTAGGAGAGGGACAAGGCTTTGGAACTATCAGACTTTAGGATTAGGCTGAGATCTCTCTCTCAGTCCCTCAAGATGGGGAGAAATCAATTCCACCCAAAAGTTGGGGGTAATTTTGTGTTTCCTCTTTGCAAATCAGGTATTCATTGGATAATCTAGACAGGATTTATCTGGCTGTGTTTAGACATCTGACAAGTTCTCTGGGTTCAGAGAAACCTTGAAATGCTCTAGTGGAGATTTTTATACTGTAAGTCTCTAGAGAGAGATGAGGTAAGGGCTGTCTTTGACACTTCCAAGACATTATCAAGGACAGTGTCATGAAAAGCCACGCTTGTGAATGGGCTTTAAAAGCATTTTCAGGCAGATGAGGCTGTCACCATCCCGTGAGCAGCACCAGTATTTTTGCTATCAGCTGGAATGCCCAGGGAGCACATTTTGCTGGAAGAGCAGCGGGGATCAGGGTGGAGATGATGGCACAGGCGGTGTCGGACTCTCAGTGTGGGGTTTCTGTCTGTTTGTCCGGCAGCCAAGAGGGGCAACGCCATGACCAAGGACGGCTTCCTGATGTACCTGCTGTCTGACGAGGGGAACATATTCAACCCCTCCCACCGTAAAGTGTACCAGGACATGACCCAGCCTCTCAGTCACTACTTTGTGTCATCCTCACACAACACCTACCTTATGGAAGACCAGATCACAGGTCCAAGCAGCACAGAAGCCTATATCAGGTAAAGCGTGTGTGTTGTGTGTGTGTTTATGTGTGGGGGAGGTTGTCCCCTCTCTTACAGAAGACATAAGGTGCATTTAAACTGCTAGATGCAAGAGGATCAAGAAGCAGCCTCCCACCCTGAGACCAGGTAATGTGGACTGACCCACGTTCACACCAGGGTGAGCTTATTTCTAAATCAGGTTGGCTGTGCTGCCCCTCTCTTTTCGTAGCACTTTGACCTGGGTCTCTGCTGGGTCCCTGGTGGTGTCCTCCCGACTGTAAGAGACACGACTACTACATTTTGAGAAGAGTTTGAAATACCTGCAGTCACGTGGAGGCTGGAGTGCAGCCCTCTGGCACTGTTTTCAAAGCATGGTGCTGAGAGGGAATGTTGCATTCCCCAGAACACAGCACAAGGGAGTGCAAGGAGCTTACGAGATGCAAAGATTTCTGGGAGAGAGCTGCAGGTCTGTGTAGGGACTGCAAGGAGCCAGGAGACTTATGCCTGGTCCCTCTCTAGCATCTCAGATGTTCCCACAGCATCCCTGGACAGAACATTAGGTGTTGCCTCCTTCTGCCTTTAACAACGACTGTTATCAGATGTCTCATGGCTTGATGAGTGCAGTGACCTTTACTAACCTGCACAACCACCTTACATTACTCCTGCTGTGACCTGTGCTTTTATCAGGTGGGGCAGTGTTTCCTTACAAGCAACTCAATTACTGCAATTCTGTCTTTGTTTATGACTTACCTGATTCTCAGGAGCAATGACTGTCTAAACTCACAAGGCCAAAATTGTATAGAGTGAAATCTGGAAAAAGGTTGCTTCCCAGTAGCTCTTTAAATTCCTCTTAAAGTATCTTAAAATTATAGATGTATGTTTTGGTTGTAAAAAAAAAAAAAAGAAAAAAAAATCCCATTATTCTGGAACTGGTTTCCCAGAGAAGGTGTGAATGCCCCATCCCTGGAAGTGTTCAAGCCCAGGTTAGATGGGGCTCTGAGCAACCTGGTTTAGGGGAAGGTGTCCCTTCTCATGACAGGGAGTTGGAATGGGATGAGGTCCCTCCTAACCCAAACCGTTCCAGTATTCTATGATTCTATTGCAAAGAGTTAAATGAGTTGTGTAATCTGAAATGTTTAGGGAGTTACTGTAAAAGAGATGAGATCACCTCCTGGACAGGTAAGGGGGGAACCTGCATTTGAAAGGGAATTAAAATGAACGTACGGATATGGAGAGGTGGGACTTTCAAGTGGAAATTCAGCCTGTAGACTCAGCTTGGGAAACTGGTCCTCAGCAGTCTTCCTAGTTATGGTGGAGTCCCCACAGATCCCCTCCTCTGAGGATTCGTCTCTCGTGTTGTATCAGATCTAGATGAAGAACACACATCATCCAGGCTTTGTGACCTGCCTTCTAAGGGTGACTGTCTTACTGTCATTCTTCCAATGCAGCCATTCTTGATTTTCTCTTCTCTTCACTGTCTTTGGGGACAGACTTGGGGCACAGTCATGAGTGTTCCTTTCTCATCTGGCACTTGCTTTGTGTTACTCTTTGGATATTTCTAGCTCGGACTTCCACTTCCTCCTTTTTCTGATCCTGCTGTGCTTTCCTTGCTCGACCTTGAGCTGTCTTTGCCGACACTGAGCTCTTCTGATCAGTCCTTTCTCTCTCTGCTTTCCTGTTTTTCCAAGCTCCTTTTTTCTCCCTTGCTCCCTGAACTTCCCATCAGTCTTCCCAGGCAGTGCCTGTGCCTCATTCTGAGGCGGAGCAGAAGGTTTAGAACCCAACCAGGTCCCTTCTTTGTTTCCAGAGCCCTCACCAAAGGCTGCCGCTGTGTGGAGCTGGATTGCTGGGATGGCCCCAACTCAGAGCCCATCATTTATCACGGCTACACCCTCACCTCCAAGATCCTCTTCAGCGATGTCATTAAGGCCATCAAGAACTATGCTTTCAAAGTAAGGATGAGGCACCCTCTAAGATTTCTCATTTTGCATAGCCCAGGACTGACAGTAGATCCCTGCCCTCCCAGCAGAGAGCAGAAATAACTGGTTTCTTATTTCCCGTGGGGACAAGATGTGCCCTATCCGGGCATCCATGCTCTGCTTCCTGCAGAGATCCATTCCTGGGAGTTTCTGCTCAGGCAGAGCACCACCTGATGAGTTTGAATGTGCACCAGCACAGCTGCATCCTGGACCCCACTGCAATGAAAATGATACCCGGTATCTTGAGCCCGCCTGGCGGGAAATGCAAACAAGCCCATAATTTATGTGGCTTTGATGTCTTAGGGTCTGTTTCTAATTTAGAGGAACCCACGCTTTAGATGTGAAGGACTGCTTCTACTCTGCAGGTCTGGAGTCTTGCATGGCAGTGCTGGGCCAGCAGCCTTCAAAAAACCTTGGGTCCGTCCAGACTCACGGGATTTTCTGCTATTTTCCTTCAGTGCACTTGGGAGCTGGCATCGAGTTTCCTTTGGGGCTCTAAAGGAGTGACAGTGACAATAATGACAATGCCTTCAGCACACAGAATGGCTTAGGGGGCACAGGGAGCCAGATCAGGCAGCTAGTAGGATTGGAGGAAGGATTCATGTCACCTTGGGATTTGAGCAAACCCAGTGATTTCAAAGCCCCCTTCCCCAGTCTTTCCTCTGAGGTGGGAAGGTGTTTGGACCCGCAGTGCAAGCGGAGAATGGAGGCAAGGGAGCCTCACCAAAGTGTCCCAGAAAGTCTGTGGGAGGCATCCTGACCCGTCCTAGTGCCCTGTCCATTGGCTCATCCTCTCTGGAAGGCATCAGCAGAGACCTGAGTAGCTGCTGCGTAGTTAAATTTGACCATTTTTAACAAATGTTCGTTTTAGCAGAATTTAGACCCTGCTGTTGACACTCATTTCCTGAGTAAACAGCACTGAGGTTTACACCAGCAACTGGTGGTATTGCAGAGTTCACTGATGGTGTGTGTTGCTGTCTTGTCCTAGACCTCACCATACCCTGTCATCATCTCCCTGGAGAACCACTGCAGCGTCGACCAGCAGAAGGTCATGGCTCAGCACATGACGACCATCTTCCAGGACATGCTCTTGGTTGCCCCAGTGGATGGGAACAAATCGCAGTTCCCGTCCCCAGAGGTAAGCAAGGCCTCTCCAGCACTGCCTTCTGAAGGTGGGACAAGGAGGAAGTTTGTGTTCTCGCTGAGTGCTCAAAACTCAAGGGGAAAACCAGTACAAGTAGCCTAAAAATGTATCAAGCACAAAGTGTCCTCCCACTGAGAGTGGCCTGGGGTGGTGGGGATGGAGATGCCCATGAAGGACAAGGGAAAGCAGGAGGCTGCCTAGAGATGCCCCTTTGATTCCCATGAATCAGGGCAGCTGTCAGGCTGGGAGCTGAGCTCTGACCTTGCAAGAGGAAGGAAATACGCAGCCCTCAACAGTGGACCACCACTTTAAAATCATTGGCTGACAATTAGGAAGAAATGGAAATGAAATCTTGATATGGAAAAAAAAGTTTCCAAAACAGAAGCCAAATTAAATATTCATCTCCCCTTTGGTTTGTGTTTTCTTTCCTTGTTTCCTTGTTTCTTTGTTTCCTTCTTTCCTTCCTCCTTTCCTCCTTTTCTCTCAAGCACTTTTGCAGAAGCAGGCAAAGTTTGTGTGGGTAGCTGCAGTTCCCTTTAAATTGCATTTCTTTGCTAAAGAAATCATTTGCCAGAAGTTGGATGAGCTGGCCTACCCAGAGCTGGAAGGAGTTTGTGGGTGGGATAAAGCTGGCAGTCAGCAGGGGAGAAAGGAGAGGAAAACGATCCACCCAAAATATCTTCTGTATTTGTTCTCCATCCTCCTTTATCTATTTTCCTTTTCCAACTTTCCCCTTTTGTTTGGGAGTGTCATGCCTCATTTGATACAATGCCTAGCACAGAGGGAAGCTGATCTGGGTTGGTCCCTAAGCACCAGGGCAATAAATAAGGATGAATCATGATTTTTAATGCTGCTGCTGCTGCAGCAGGACCTCGACTCTGGCACAGACAAGGTGACTGCGTTGAGAGAAGTGAGTGCCAGGGTGAGGGTACACCCAGCATGAGGACAGCTCTCTGCAGGCTGTTAGCGACTTGGAAAAGTAAGTGCCCCCTCCTGACTCACTGTTTATCCTGGTGCAGGATCAGGAAAGCTGCTGATGGCTTTTCACAACTCTTGCCTTGTGACCAGGGCAGTGATAGGATGAAAGGAAGGAGAAACACCTGGGAAAGAAAAGCGTGATTTGTGCGTGTAAGGGGACGACCCCAGCTTCCCAAAGATGTTTTTCCCATTCCTGTGCTCATCCAACCTCCTGCTCTGGTTGCCCGAACAGACACGTGGCCCCAGCTGGAACACAGTGGCCCAGATCTACCTTAGTGAATGGATTTGGGCCGATTTGCTCCGTTGGAGGGATTGATCCGTTTAGTTTAATTGGAGAAAAATTGCCAGTGTGTCAAGACCTATCCTTTTCCTTTGGATACTTTTCCTCTGTCTTCCTGCTATGTGAACAAGGAGAGTGCAAAAGGCTGAAAGGCTGATTTTTTGGGTGAAAAATACATTGAAACTGAAACATTAAGGGCAAAAACTTAAACCAACAAACCAGAAACCTCTTGGCTTTTCCACCCTCTTGTGAAAGTTGATGTGAGGAAGCCTGGAACAAAGTGGTATTTTGTATATTAGAAAAAGGGTGGGATCTGCCACTGGGAAAAGGGCTGAAAGGCTGTAAATACAAACAGTGGAAGGATTGCTACCGATTGTGTTAGCAGGGCAATGTCAGTAATTAAAGGAAGATCGACAGGGCTTGGATTTGTGCTAACGATCCATTCCACAGCCCGAGGCAGGAATCTGATTTGTTAGGCTCCATTCAGGAACAGTGTTGGGCTACACAGCCTGTCTAAATATCTCCCTCAAGCTGCTGTCTTTAGGTCCCAATAGTAAATTAAAGGCTGCAGGATGAAAGGCCAAAAGCCACATAAAAGCTCCAGGCAGTGCCGGGGTTGCAGGGAGGAGCAGATCCAGTCTGTGTTCCTTGTTGCCTTTCTGATGGCTTATTGCCCTTCTGCCCCATCCCTGATCCGCACAGGGGTCTGCCCAGCCCCTTTCCCTTATCCCTACATCCCAGCTGGAAATGCTGCAAAGCCCCAGTCCTGGAATGAGGCTAAACCAGCTCCCAGTGTCGCAGGCAACTCTTCAGTGTACCAGATGTATCTCCTAAGGACTGGGAACATGTTACTCCTGACAGCTTCTCAGGAGTCTGGAGGGATGGGTGTCCTCACCCTGAGAACATGTAAGGCAGCAGTGCTCAGACCCTGCCTATCCGTGTATGTGAGCACTTTGAGAAACAGTTAATACAGTCAGAGGGAGTTGGAGGTGTGGTCCAACCTCCTCCTAAGTGTTTGTCCAAACAGATGAGAAGGATCACACCCTGGGAGTGTTTAGTTCTCTCTGTTGACTCTGAAGGAGGTGTTGAAAGCCCAGAAAGTTTGATGAGGTGGATCACCTTACAAATCCTCCATTCCCACTGAGATGAAAACTGGAATTCAGACCTTACTGTGGCTTTCAGGCTGCTTGTTAGGGTGTAGGAAACTTTCAGGTAGGATAAACATGTGGACGTGGATCTTTTAAAATCCTGTGCTCGTTATAACAGTTCTACTGCTGCTGATAAAATCAGCAGTGCTTCCCTGGCTGCCATGTGCCAATCCACAGACTCCCAAAAGGAAGCAAGGCCATGTGTCAGAACCATTTCACTTGCAGAGCTGAGCTTGTTCAGCATGCAGTGGAAAAGGTGGGAGAGCAGGGGAGCTCCACCTGTGGAGAAATAAGACAATGCCATTTACAGGGAATGTGAAAAAGGGCAAGAGTTGCATTTATTCAAGCAACTGCTCCACGGCACGTTCTCAGTGGAATCCAGTGTCCTTGTAGCCTTTTCTTAGGCTGTACTCAACCTTGGGCTTGCCAGACACAGTTGGAATAGCTTTATGGTCTACTTGGAGAATATTTATTGAGTATTTCAGCTAATGCTTCCTCCTAAGACAAGGGATCTGCTCAGCAGAGCTGAACTGATGAGCTGAGAGTCTTTTGCCTCAGGCTAGAAATACTTAATATCAGACGGAGAGGAACCAAGAGAAATGAAGCAAGGGCATGTGTGTGTTTGTGTCTGTGTGTATCAGCTTATTTAAAACCTTATTAAAGAAGATAAACTCAGATTTGGGCCTTTGCTTCATAGCACCCATATTAATTGGGGAAGAAAGAATCATGAATGAAGACTGGCAGCTTCTGCACGATGGACTCAGTGCAGTGCTGCTGTAAAATAGCACCTTTTTCAGGAAGTGGGAATGAAGATGCTCTCTTTTGGGGTGAATCTCACCTCTCATTGTGGACCAACAAGCAAATGCATCTCCTCTCAGTTAGGTGGCACCTGGGCTGCTCTCCCCTGTAGGCACAGTGGAAATTACCTGCCTAGGGGGATACGGTGGGCATGGGACCAGTGTCCCTGTGCCCATGGGGAGCTTCTGCAGCATATCCAAGGTTTCCCAGAATAACCACAGGCTAGTCAGGATAAGAGCAGCTCTAGCACAGGGTGTGTTGAGGAGACATGGAGAAGGCTGTGCTCCTGTGCCTTTGCTGCTGATGTTATTCAGGCTTGTAGGATGAGTCTGTTCCAGAAGTTACACCTCCCATTTGCTGTCCTGAGTGGCAGAAGCTTAAAAAGCTTAATTACCTACTGATAATTAAGAATCAAGCAGTCTGCCCCAAATACCTTATCCCTAGTTCTCTCTACTAGTTGTGAGATAAGGTGGTAATGTTTTTTATGGGATATTTGAAAGCAGAGGCAAATAGTATATATGAAATATCAGGATGGTATCTGCAGTTTGTAAAGGATGAGAGGGACTGCTCTCAGGCCCTCCTTACTGTCTCCAGTGCAATCCTTCCAGAATTGTCCATTCCAAGTGTTGACTAGAGCCTAAGAACTCACACAGAACTGGATTTTGTTGTGGAAGAAGAGTGTAGAGCTGGATGTTGAGGTAGGAGGGTGGGAAGAGTCATGGGAGCAGCAGACTGAAGTGAGAGTCTGAAGATGAGCCGACTCATCTCCCAGCCTTGCATGTAGAGAAGCAGGTCCCAGCTCTGCCTGGAAGAGGGATGAGGGCTGGGAGGATGGTCTGGGGATGGGAAGGACAATAGTGCCATGCTCTGACTGCTCCTTTGGACCTTTTATTCCAAATAACTGGTACACTCCTTCCATCTGCTTCTGAGTATAGCTTTTGAGTGACAGGGAAAGTGCCCCAGTGCAAACAGAACATTTGTGGTAGCTGAATAAAAATGCTCTTGGCTGCTGCCTCTGGTGCCAGTGTCAAATTTCTGCTCCAACCAAGCTTCATCCATGGCTTCACTGGGTGGTGAGGAGTTGGTTTGGCTCTGCTGTAAAGATGTGATGCAATTTGCTTGCACCCACAAGGGGTGCAAAGGGGGAAATTGTGTCCTTTGAAAACGCCTGTGTTGCTTTATAGAAGGTCCTTGGTTTTCCAGAGTCCTGTCATCTGAGTGTGGTGGGGTTTGTTGCTTTTGCTGTTGAGGAAAAGGCAAACACAGGGTGTTGCTGAGGAAAGGGGAATGTGCTGCACAGACTGAGGGGTTGTGCTGGCTAATTCCAAAAGACTGAATTTTTCTGGAATAACTAGCCAGGAGTGCCAAACACACCCAGGTGGCAGCAAATCTCCTGCTGAGTTCTCTGGAAGCTGCGGGGTCTCGTGGTGCTCCTGATTTTAAGGCATAACCTGCTCACTCAGAGATTGCCCTCAGTGCTTCTCCCTGCTGCCAGCATTGCTGCTGCCTCATTTGGGCTCTTCCTTAGGCTGTCAGCACCCTAAGGCTTCACCTGCAAAGTCCTTACCTATTAAAATTCCATGTCTGCTGTGCAGGAAGCACCTGTACAGAACTTAATGGGCCTCCCTCACCATTAAAATTTCTACTGGAACAGAAGGCTGAACTGCTTCAGTCCCTGCTTGGATCTCATACAGTTTCCCAAGTTGTGCTTGTGAACACACATTGTGTTCATAACCATACACAGCAGACTGTGGGGTAGCTTGGCCCTGTTTGCTGAGCCACATTCAGTCTTGAAAAAAAAAAATGTAGTATATTTTAATTGCCTTTAACAGCACAACTGTTTCAGTTGTCTAGTTGAGGGGATGGCTCTGTTTCAGAGTGGGCATTCTGGGGTGTGCAGACTCATGGCTTGAGGTCTCAGAGGCTGGGCAGAGCCTCAGTGAAAAAACAGACTTATTTTTACCTGTATCTATGGATAATAACCACTGAGTGATGCAGCTCTAAAAGGCCCTGGTTGCAGCTGAGGGGCTTCTTCAGGATGGACTAGAACCTTTTCTACTCACCAGCTATTTTGTCCCCTTTTTCCTTGCGCAGCAATTGAAAGGGAAGATCCTTGTGAAAGGCAAGAAGCTGAGCAGGCAGGAGGACCCCACAAACGGGAACAACAACCTGGAGGCTGAGGATGTCTCTGATGAAGATGAAGCAGCTGAAATTGAAGATGAATCTGTGAAGACTGAAGTGCAGCAGAAGGGGAAGGTAAGTAAGAGAAGTAAGAGTGCTGGAAAGGGGCAGATTTGGAGAGACAGAAAAGCTTTAAACAGGATCTTTGCCTACTGCAGAGGGCTCTGAAGTCCTGCGTCAGGAAATCCCATATTGTTAGCCTGTCCCATGACTCATGCTGGGAAGCCACTTTTTAGATGGATTTTGTACCGTGCCTAAAGAAATAAAAAAGGAAGAGCCATTGAAATATACTTTTAATATGTTCCCAGCTAAGAAAGACAGTTCTCAGCGTGGTTTCAGCTGCTCAGCTGGGGATTTGTACGGGTGAATTGTTGAAGTTGCTGGAGCTGAGGATCCTGGTGCTTGCTCTGCTTAATGATCTCTGTCCCAGGCACAAACAGAGATTGCAGAGCCAGCCAAGCATGAAGGTTGGCTTCTTCCTCTGAAATGAGGCTGGAGGCCCCTGCAGCTGGTGCAGACCATGTAGCATTCAGGGAGGCAGAGGAAGGGCACATGTTCAATCTGTCTGCCTGATTTCCAGAAATCTGTTTGTCACGGGACCGTCGTGACTCTGTTTGGTGCCTTTCTAGTCACGTTTTGGGATGTACCTGCACCCTCATGGTCTGGGTGTTTCTGACCAGGAGGAGGGAGGGAGGGAGGGAAGAGCTACGGATCTGCGGGGAAGGGGTGGCCAGTTCCTAAAGCAATTTGTATGACTGTTCCTGGGAAGAAAACGCTGGCCTTTACAGCAGTGTTTTGCTCCCTCCTGTGAGGACATTCAGTTTCCAGACTGCAGGTCCTTGTGAAGGCCATATCCCTTATGGAGCAGCTTCAGAGGTGACACAGATACATTCAGTCCCCAGTGATGGCAAAGCTGCCTCTGGATCTGGTCTGGTCTGTGCTTCCCCTGGCTGATTTGCTCACTCTTCAAGGGTCTCACTTCTTTCTCTGAACTCTGAAAAATAATGAGTATGATTTTGAAGTCTGTCCCTTTCTTTTCTTGCCTCTGATGGGAGCTGGTGGCTCTCACTTCACCCTTGCACTAATGAATGTGGCTGTGGAGTGGGAGGCATCAAAGCATTGTGAGAACTTTCTAGTTTGAGGGGGAAGAAAGCCCAAGCTCTGTGGAGGCCAAAACATCCTTGTCTTCCCCTTATTCCTAGGTTTGCATGCTTGGGACCAGGAAAGCGTGGACAAGTCGTTGCTAAGGCTGTGTTACAAAGTTTAGCACCTGGAGACAGACATTGGTGCTGAAACACAAGTGATCATGCAGAGAGCAGCAGGGAGGGTATCCCACCAACAGAGAGAGGACCCTTTTCCACCCTCTCTCTCCATAGGGACACCACTGAGTGTTGGTAGTGAGTGTGCATCCTCTCCCTGTGGAGATGGTGGAGAAGGGAAGCCCCGGAGGTCCTAGAGAAAACACAGTTATTACTTTTTGCTGCAGAAACTCCCTGAAAACCTCTTGCTCTCCTGTTTTTCAGAGTGACACTTTGAAGCTGGCCAAGGAGCTGTCAGACACAGTTGTCTACTGCAAGAGTGTCCATTTTGAAGGCTTTGATGACCCCAGCCATCCTCGGGCTTTCTACGAGATGTCGTCGTTCTCAGAGAGCAAAGCTCTGAAACTGGCCCAGGAGTCTGGTATGTGTGTTCTGCCCTGACAAAAGGCTATCCTCTGTCCCAGCCCCCCAAAAAGGGACAGCTAGGGGTGATTAGGCACAAGAAAAAGGCATCCTGAAAGGCATGGGTTGTGATCTCTTGGGTCATGCATGTCACTGAGAAACAGAGGGAAGAACTTAATATTGTGGAGGCTGTTACCAAGAAAGGTGTTTATACAGGTAGTTCCCATTCAGCCAGACTTGCTTGGCAGAGGAGGAGAATACACAGCAGCATCAAGAAGAGATGAAAGTAGCCCCCATCACTGAAAAGGCCATTTTCTTCTTTTTTTTTTTTTTTTGATAGGAACCAATTTTATTCATCACAACATCAGGCACCTGAGCCGGATCTACCCTGCAGGCTGGAGGACAGATTCTTCCAACTACAACCCCGTGGACTTGTGGAATGTTGGCTGCCAGATTGGTGGGTGCAGCTGGGAGGCTGGACTGGAGTCAGGCTGACTAGCTCACAGATGAACTGTCAGTGGAGGGGCTTCAGCTGAGATAGATGTGCAATCTCAAGCCTTTTGCAGCCAGAGGCTCAGTGGTCACTGGGAGAAATCAGCTTTTCAGCCAATGCTCAGTGACTTTCCATTGACATTTTCTGGCTCACCACAAATCCATTAGGAGAGTCTGAGAGTCTTTCCTGCACATTAGTGTGCACATCCCTGCAGTTTCACTGTCAGCAGAGTCACTGCCATTTCACAAAGGAAGAGGGAGCCAGGAGTGAGGAGTCACTTGCTGAAAAATGTGCTGAAAATCTCTGGCAGAGCTGCAAACCAAACTCAGCTCCACTGAGCCCTTCAGCAAGGCTGTAACCATAAGGGCCAAGCCATGTCCTGAGCTGTTCCCTGTAGTCAGAGCAGCTCATCATATCTACTCCCAGGGGGTTGAGGCCTCTGACAGTGTATTTGTAACTCAGAGATTCAATGAAAACAAAAGACCCAGTGCCTGTTCAGTGAATCCTGTTGTAGCTCTCGCCCAGGAAACCTGGTGCAGTGGTAAGAGGGCAGGATGGTGATGACATCTCTCCTGAGAAATCACCAGAGCACTGAGGAGCTGCTGGGGTCTGTGTGGTGTTAGTGAGACTGCTCACAGAGACTGGTCCAGATTTGACATCAGTGCTTTAAAAAAAGATATCGACAAATTGGGAAGAATACAAGAAATCTGCCTGGTGTTAGGACACCAGTGAGGCTTGATCTATTTTGGGCAGGAGACAATAAAGAGGTGATTTGATCACAGCTGCTGTACTCCTGCCTGAGGAGTTCAGAGAGTGAGGAGCTCTCTGGTCTAACCAACAGAGGCATCGATGCCCCTTGGGATGGCAAATGAAAATAGGCAGATCTGGGCTGGAAAGGAGGTTTTATAATGAGGCTGAGTAGCCAGAGAAATGATCTGAGAAGGATTTTCTGGCTTCACTGCAGGAGAGAATTCCTTCAGCATAGAAATGAGTAGGTTTATCTAAAAGATGCAGTTGCTCAGCTAGGTGGCATAAATTCCATTCAGGACACTTTCTGATCCTGTGAAAAGCAGAATGGCTGTAATGGCTCCTCTCCTCTCCATCATCTCTGAATGCAAGAAGTCCTCAGGGGTAACGGGCTGTGAGGGTGAGAGTTTATCACTGCTCTTTGGAGCATGGAAAATCCAATGTTTATGTCCATGAAGTGCAATTTCACGTGAACAGAATTGGTATGAAAAGTTTCCCATTGATTTGTCTGAGAGTCGCTGAATTTATTTATTTATGTTGCAGTTGCCCTGAATTTCCAGACAGCAGGCACAGAAATGGATGTCTACCAGGGTCGGTTCCAGGACAATGGGTTTTCTGGGTATGTCTTAAAGCCGGAATTCCTCCGGGATGAGCAAACCAAATTCAATCCAAAATCCATCACAGAAGGAACATGGGGGACAAAGAAGAAGCTCCTGCTTAAAGTAAGAATAGAAGTCGGGAAACGTCTCAGTAGCATCCACCTTCGGGGGGGCGTGTAGGTTGTACCTTCTCCTTCTTCTGGTCCCACCTGGGCAGTGTTGTCCTAACCCTACTGATCTCCCACCTCTGGGGTCTCTCACGGACTTTGATCCTCCAGGGAGCCACTCACATGTTCAATGTTGGGCAGTAGAAGAGGTTAATGACAATATTCACTGTCGTTACAGAGGCGCAAAGGCAGACGTGCAATCGACAGTCACCTCTGCTGTTCCCAGGTGTCATCTGATCACTGTGGGGACAGTTAGAAAAGCTGCCTGTCCCCCAGCCAGCTGGCTGGGCTGGAGCAGTGCTCCTTAGGTGCTTTGGCTCATGACAGCTTCCTCTGAAGGATGTCACAGCACTGGCTCTGAAAAAGCAGCACCGGCTCTGAAAGAGCAGCACTGGCTTGTCACAGCAGATCCTGTGCTCCCAGAGAAGGAGAGGGAATTTTCCAGGGAGCCCCCTCTCCTGGTGAGGTCCTAACCTCTTTCTCTGGTTCCTCCACAGATCATCTCTGGCCAGCAGCTGCCCAAGGTGAACAAAAGCAAAAACTCCATTGTTGATCCTAAGGTGACGATAGAGATCCACGGTGTCCAACAGGACAACAACAAGAAGCAGACCAAAGTCATTGAGAACAATGGTAAGGGGTTTTTCTTCCAGGCTGTGCTCCCGTGGGGCAGTAACCCTTCCATGTCATGTAGCAGAGTGTGTTCCTTGCCAAGGCTGCTGCCCTGTGACCAGAACAGCCCACACTAAGCAGATACATGAGGTGCTGTCGGACTGTGAGGGGTTCTTTCCTCTCTTCTCTCTCTAACACATTAGGAGACAGAAATTCCCTGTAAAATAACATCAGCCACACTGAGTTGTTTGAGGCTGGCTGCCAGATTTGCAGAGGTAGAGCTTTGGAAGTGCTCTTTACATCCACACAGTTGGGTTTCACCTGGGCTGCAGAGGTTCCCACCACGATATTCCCAGAAAAGGTTTCTTGTGGGGCTGATTTTATCCTGACAGTGTCACAACCTCATGAAAGATTGAGGTTGCATGGCCCTTTGGAGATGCCTGTTCCAGCCCCTGCCTAAAGCAGGACCATACTCAAAGTTTACTCAAGTTGCTCAGGATATTGCCTGGATGAATTTTGAATATCTCAAAAGATGGAGGACCATTTCTCATCAGTCAAATGTGGCTGTGACTTCCCTCTGTGCAGGGAGGGTCTGAAAATTATGGCCTCCTGCACAAACACACACACTCTGATTTTCTGCCTGGAGTAAGAACCAAATGCTAGAAAGCTGATGCAGATCTTCCTCCCTGCTAACAATGTTTCCCTTTTCCTCTTTCCTGTTTGAGTAAATCTGGCCTGGCTCCTAAAGCTCACGGCCATTTCCATCACCTACAATAATTTTTATAGTCTGACAAGTGAAAGTTGTGCAGGGAACATTTCAGACCTGCCAGGCCTTTTCCTCAAGGCTGCTCAGCACTCCCAGTCCTGTGGCCAGCCCTTGGCTGGCTGGAGCAATACTGGAATGATGGTGGAGTGACACTGGAGGGAGTGTTGCCCAGTGGAAAGTGAGTCAAACAGTGAAAATACCCACATTGGAAAGGGGCAGCTGCAGAGAGGGGTTTGCATTTCGTGGGCTGAGGTTTCAGATGTGTGACCACACTTCAGCAGCTCACCTGGTTTGATGTTTTACAGCTGGACTCGATAGTCTTAAAGGTCTTTTCCAACCTGAATGATTCCATGTGTTTTTGGGAATGAAGCAGGGGCTGTGGGCCCAGATCAGGACACAGCATGACCAGGGCATAGACCATGCAGCTCAAGAGGCTGTAGGAACCTGCTGGCTCAGCATCTCTATCTCACTGTGGCTCTGAGATGGGTGGAGAATCCCCCACAGACCCCACTAGAGTGAAACCTGCTGTCCCAGGGCCAGTGACTCTCCCTCAGCTTTCATGATTTCTGCTCCCATGGGATGAGCAACACTTTGTTCAGCAGCAGTTTTTTTTCCCCAGGGATGAAGAGTCAGGAGCAGATGTGTGTTATCTGAACAGTCCCGTTGATTTAGTCATAGAAAGGTCCAAACAAAGCACACCAATGCAGCACAGGTGTTGTGCTATGGCACAGTCCCCAGGCCCATCTCAGCACCTCCAGGGCCAGCTGAAAGACCCCTGTCTCCTGCTGCATTCCCCCAAACCCTTCATGACCAGCAGGGACATTTTGCTGTCCTTGGTCTCTGCTCTGCACAGACTCTGCCAGTGGCAGCAGGTTTTCCAACAGGATGTCCTCTGCCCCTGTTTGCTTCTGGGGAGTGGTTTATTGGAACTGCACCTGCTGTGACCTGGAGAGAGAGCACTGAGCTTGCTCTCCACCTCTTATGTCATGTGATGGTCTTGGTTTTGTTTGCTTTGAGTCTGGACCACATGAAGCCTTATCAGACTTGATGATGGTTTCTGTAATCAGACACTCCTCATTAACCTTTCTTGCAGACAGGGAAACTGAGGCACGGAGTGGTGATTAGATGGGTGTATCTAGAGAAGCTGGAGAGGCTTAAGGCCCCAGGAGTCTGTTGCAACACAAAGACAGAATTCCCCTCTCTGCTCTCCCGTGTAAAAATATGCTGTAAATATATGCAACTGGTCCAATGGCAACCAAAGACATCCATGTACCCTCCCTCCTTCTCCCACTGCCTTCTGGGACAATGGAGCTGAGGTCTGAAGTGAGCAGCCTGAGCTGAAGGATTTATTAATACCAGGGAGCAACTGAGTGTTGGAGCTGGGAACGAGGCTCTTGGCACCTCCTAAGACCCCTGGCCTGGGTCAGATTAGGTTGGCCTTTTCAAGTCTCCCTTGATTTGCAACACCTCTGCCCACCATCCTTACCTGCCAGCATCTCTGAGGTCCTTGTCTGTGTTGTCCAGGCTTTAACCCGAAATGGGACGAAGAGTTTACGTTTGACATAGAGATCCCTGCACTCGCCCTGGTCCGGTTTGTGGTGGAAGACTTTGACATGTCGACCAAGAACGACTTCATCGGGCAGTACACCCTTCCCTTCACGAGCCTGAAGCAAGGTAAGGCCCTGCTCCCTGTTCCTCACAGCCATGAACCCTTTGGGAAGTTCCAGTGTCCTGAGTGTTCCAGATCCACCACATCTCAGGTCAGAACAGAATTTTTGGGCAGCTGATAACACTGTCTCTAGGGAAGGGCCCCCCCACTTGTCCCCAGTGGCTTTGGGCACGATACATTATCCATGTCAGAGCCTCTGGGATCTACCTGTTCCGTGGGATGCTGGGAGCAAAACGCTATGAGACAGGGAGATGTTTTTGCAGGGTCTTGGCAAATGTTAGCACAAACTTTTCCAACTGGACTAAAGGCCACTTTCCATCTGTGCCTCTGCTTCCAGGTTATCGCCACATCCATCTTCTAACCAAGAACGGAGACCCGTACTCCTCCTCCACCCTCTTTGTGTACATCAATATCCAGGACTGTGATTAGCAGTTCGGCTCCTTGAGGGCACAGTGAACCTCGTTACAGACCTGGAAGGAATTCAGTGTGTGAACTCTGCCAATGTCAGGGCCCTGTCAATCCCCAGCACCTTCCCTGGAGCAGCACAAGGTGCTCCCTCGGACCCCGATGTGAAACAGCGACCGACCTTCTCCCTTCTGCGTGCTGGAAACACCCCAATGCTGCTGTTGACATGAACCCTTTTTTGTACCTGTTCGACCAATCCAGCCGTGTTTTTAGTTCACTCCCTTTAGATTTTTTTTTTTTTTTTAACGTTGCTTTTAGCGAGAGAACAGAGACTCCCTTTTTTAGTGAAGTACAGCCCTTGGGTTGGGTTCAGTCAGACATCTGGACAAAACACCCAACATCTGTGCAAGAAGAAAACTCCACCTCAGCCCTGCAATCCCTGGCCGGGTGCCAGGTGACTTCTTGCAGCTGCAGGTGTCAGCCATCTTTCACCACACAGAGTCTTAAACGGGGACACAATTCTCCCCCTTCCCTGTTACAGATTAAAAAAAAGAAAGCTGCACTACAAAGGCCCGTGTTATGTAACTCGGCTTTCCTTTTGTGCTGTAATGAAAAATACATGAACACTACCCCAGCCTGCGTGCCTGGCTCCCAGCCAGGCCGCTTCGCCTTCAAAGCCCGGCTCTCACCCCGGGAAGGAGAAAGGAGCTGCTGAGTGGCACAGTTTCCCTCTAACCCAAAGTGAAACCCACTCAAAAGGGACCTCAGAGAACGCCTTTTGCCGGTGAGAAGTAGAAACACACTCGACTGACAGTAGTTTCTTTTTTTTTTTAATGCGGTAAGACTTGGTGTTTTTGTAGAAAAATGCCGTTTTTTAAACACAGAGGAAGTGGCAGTGGATGCTGTAAATGTTAGCCGGTCCCAGTTGCACTGTAGAGGTAACCCAGCACAAACACACAGGAGTGTTTTGAACAGCAGCTCAGTATTTATGGCAACGAGTGATTTTTTTTTTTTTCCTTCCAGTAGAACTACAGAGTTAAGGGAATATTGTTGATAGAAAATAATATATATTTTGAAACGCCAACTATGTTACAACTAACAATCTGTTAGACTATTAAAGGTTGAAAAAATTTCTGGAAGAGTCCAATTAGTTGTCACTATTTGCCTCTTTGTCCTACTCGAATGCAACACGCGTGAACTTGGAGATAGACCTGCTTAATTTTTTAAGTTACCAGACTTTCTGGGGTTTTCAGACCCTGCTGGTGGAGAGGACAGGCTGATACCAAAGATGCTGATGTCTTTTTAAACACGCTCCAGTCAGCTTGTTTTTTGAGTCCAAAAGAGCCTGGATTTAGTGATCCTTGGGCCTGCTGTGAAGCTGGGTTTCTTTTACTCCTCTGTGGAGTTTGTTATGCTTCGGTAATCATTGCTGGACACACTGATTTTTCCTCTTCACTACAATATTGTGAGATGTTGTAAACTGTTGCCAAATTAAATGTGAATTATATCCACACCTCAAAGCCTCGTATTGTGTTAAGAACCCGTGGGTGGAAGAGTCCAGGAGAGGAGAGCCCAGAGAGGCAGAGCAGGGTGTCCTGCAGTGACATGGGCTCTCCCAACTCACCCCTGGGGTGGGGGCATGTTGTTGGAGACACACTCGAAGGCCAGGGCTGGAGCATCCTTGACTCCCACCCAGGGACAGCCGGTGTTCAGTCCCTGCTCTCAGTGTGCTCTCAGCACTTCGTTTTAAGGAGCAGTGGGATAAAAACCATGGACAGAGGACACCCAGGACTGCCCTGAACCATGCAGGGAGCTTGCACCATGCAGTGGGACAGCAGGTGTGATCAGAAATGTTCCTGCCCCTCCCTTCTGTCAGCAGCAGCTCTAGTGGGGCAAGTTAAATTCTTCCCTGTGAGGATGGCGAGGGACTTGAACTGGTTTCCCAGAGAAGCTGTGGATGCCCCATCCCTGGAAATGTTCAAGGCCAGGGTGGATGGGGCTTGGAACAAACTGGTCTAGTGGAAGGTGTCCCTGCCCATGGCAGGGGGGTTGGGACCGGGTGATCTTCAAGGCACCTCCCAACCCAAACCATTCTGTGATTGCTATTCTGTGAAGTCATATCATCCTGCTGTGTTGGCTGCAAACACATTATTTGCATTTTTTGGGTTGCAGAATTAGATTTCAGTTGGATTATTGAGTTAAAGAGTGGGGGACAGGGTGTTGGGAGAGGTGTGGGGGCAGGACCACACCATCCAAGGCCAGGGTGGGCTTAGATGGATTACAGAGAGGCTGGGTTTTCCTCTGCCTGTTGCACACTTTATTTAAAGTCAGGTAAGATCCATGGGAAGGGAAAACATCCCTCATCAGGTAGGAACAACTGGGGGAAAACTACTGGAACCATGTGGGAACGTAGCTGAGATGGAGATGGGATGGAGCAGAGCATGATGGACAATTCTCCTCCTTCCCAAAAGTGAGGGACGTGGTCCATATCATTATCAAGGGATCTCATCTCTGAGCAGATCAGGAAGTGTTGGAGCCCCACTGCAGGGAAGAGCTTTGAGTAAAAGAGCAGCAGAAACAGGTCATGGCCCACCAGACACCACAGCAAAAGCAGCAAACAGCATGAAAAGGAGGATGTGGGTGAGGATCTTTCCTTTAGAAAGCAGAGGTAGAGAATAAAAACCACTCTGCCATGAGAAGAGGAGAGCAGCAGCAGTTTCCATCAGACCCAAGTGTCAGATGGATCTGTGGTCTGTAAAATCCCATGCAGGTTTCCTACTGCTGTCAGGAATGCTCCAGTCATGCTGGTGAGCATCGTGCCTGCAGGAGTTAAAGCAATTTGTAGCCCAATGGCCTAATCTCCCTAATCTGACTGTATTTTGGCTACTCTTCATTTGACTGTGAGGAGCTCGTTAGGCCCACAATCAGGGCTGGTAGGTGGCATTCCTGCATCTTATTGAGGAGCACACGCAATTCCTTAATTTAGGAGCTGGCAGGAGCGTGCCACAGCGGGGTGAGGCAAATATTGCTGCTTCCAGCAGAGGCAGTGGAGGCTGAAACATGGATAATGTGCACTGATTGCACCTCATGTGAGCACAGCAGGAGCAATCACACAGGTAATTCGGCTGATTTGTGTCTCTGCTTGGTGCTTAACTTACTCTGCACAGGCAGTTTCAGTGGGTTTTGGGCTGAGCCCTCAAGCAGAAATGGGCAGAAGTGGTGGCAGGAACACGGATGCAATGATGGGAGTGGGGCTTATATGAAGTAACTGCCAATTCTTAAACACAGAGACCTGTCCAGAAGACCCCATGGCGTGGAGGTCCCTGCTCCAGCCCAGCCAGATGGTGACACTTCAGTGCAATGGTCCTGGGTTTGGAGTCAGAGCTCTTTGCTCCTCCTCAGTGAGCAGCCTGCAGCTCCTCAGCTCCATCCCCACATCCCCACAGCAGGGATGGGCAGTCAGGCCAACTGCTGCACAGCCTGGCACTGCTGCTCATGGGCAATGGGAGGCTTCAGGATCAGGCACGGGCGTGGGGAGACAAACTGTCCTGGCTGTGGTGCCTGGGAACAGAAGGGGCCCCACCTCCTCAGTTCCTTTCTTTTCGAAAAAATCCAAATTTCCATTGATGAGCAGGTGTTTGAAGGATCAGTGGCCCTGCAGAGCTTTTATCTACTGCCATCCTGCCCCACACGCTGATCAAGGACACTTACAGTGCTGCTGCTGGATGTTTATTTGGAATCACTGGTCAGGCTGGAAATGGAGTAAAGCTGCAAAAACCACGTCGCCTGAGCTTTTAAGCAGGTGTTTCTTCCTTTAGCTTACAGCTGTATCCCTTAATCACTGATCACTCTCACATTTCCTGCTGCCCTCTGTAGTCAGAGCCCACAGTGTGGAACAGGCACCCCTCAGCCCCACGGGCATCACAGGGATGGAGCCCTGATAAAACCTTCAGCAGGACGTGCTCTGCCTCAGGACATACCCAAAACCCTTCTGGCTTCCTCAAGCCTCTGCTCTGTGGGCAGGTGGACTCTCACATTCACCTGGTCGTGCTCAGGGAGGCCAGGTGAGATTGCAGATGCTGTCTGAATGAGAAAAAAAGTAGACAGAGTCTTGCATGGCAGACAAAATCAACATTTGTGTCTAGCCCTTGAAATAGATCAGCTAATAAATATATTTGTAATAAGTGCTTTTTTTTTTCCACACCAAGTTCTCCATGTGTTTTACCTGCCCTGGCGTATCTATGCTTGTTAGTCTAAAACTGATTCCTGCTGTTCTTTGGTGAGTAGTTTTTCTACAAGGTGGGAAGGGGAAGAACTGTCTGGTGTTACTCCACGGACTACTCCATTGGACATCTGGCTACTCCACTACCTTTTCCCCAGCCTCAAGGCTCCCCCTCTATCCTCTCAGGGCTTCCCCCTCCTTTACCCACACAGAATTTTCATAGCAGCTGCAAATGGCCTTTGTCTTGCCTAATTTTAAGCTCCTACAAATGAAGGGATATCATGACCTTGTGCACGTGGCAATTTGCAAAAGGGAGACGAAAGAAGAGGCTACAGTAGGGTTGTGTGGCACACACTTTTCTTCGTGGCTATCAGCAATAAAGTGTCAGGAAGAAGCAGAAACATCTCCTGCCAAGTTGTTCCTGCGTAAGGTTTTGCCCCCTGGCATTCTGGGTTTGCAGAAAGGAGCCATCCCCTGAACAGTGGCTGCTGGAATAACTGTGCTGGAGCTGGGCCTGGTTGGGATGTTGGGTTGGGTTCGTTGAGCAAATGCCTGCACTTCTTCCCTGCAGCTCCTAAGAGGGCGAGGGTTGGTCCCAGAGTCACTGGATGCTGGATGGCCCCTGCGGTCTCAGAAGAGTCCACACTGTTTCTTCTCGTTCTGCTGCTTCCATTTGGGCATCTGGTAGAACTCCTCCTTGGACTTCCCAAAGATATCGTGGAAATCGGCATCGGAGAGATAGAACTGCAGCGGGAGGAGAGAGCAAGGAGAGGTCAGCTTTGGCCTTGGTAGAGGCTGGGACACCTCCACAGGCTTCATCCCTTCCTCACCATGCCAGTTCTGACCTCTGACTCCAGGCCAACAGCTCCTGTCCTTGTGCTGGGAAATGAAAAGTCCCAGCAACTGCTCCTAATCCCACTTTCCAAAGCACCAAGGCAATGAAAGCCCATCAGCCCAAAGGGACGCTCTGGTTTCGAGGATTTAGCACCCTGTGGCTGGAATTCAGTCCCTGCTAATCATTCTGTGGCCAGGACAATTTATAGTCCATCAGAGAAGTTCTGCTGGCCAAAGTTTTGGGTAGTTCCTTAGCAAGTGATTCACAGTGAAAGCATCTCCCCCTTGCTCAGTTCCCTCCCCCCAAATATTCCACTGCAAACATTCACTTCTACTTTGGATTCCTCCAAGGACAGAGCAAAAACAACCCTACTGGAAGAAATAATTTTATATTTTTTAAAAATTGCTGTTTAAAATTCACGTTTTGGCCATAAAAAATAGAACTACTTCGTTTAGGGTAAAACCACCACAAGGTGTCCCTGTCCATGGCAGGGAGGTTGGAACTCGGGGATCTTTAAGGTCCCTTCCAACCCAGGCCACTCTGTGATTCTACGAATTTCCTCTCACGTGAGGCTCCTCCTTTTGACGAGACCTGTGTGTCCAGCCAGTACCTCCTTGAGTCTGAGGCAGGATTTATCATCCTGAAGTGCTGCTACACTTATCCAGTGAGTAACCTCCAAGTTAAGCTACGAAAGCATCAAACCAGCAGTGCTGTCACCTCTTTCCTGGTGGGATCCACGCCCTCTGGAAGTTCATCCACCGTCCTGTTCATCAGCACCTCTCGGGAGTAAACCCCTTCACCATTGGGCATGGGGGAAGGGCTGCTGTTGCTGCTGTAGTTGCTGCTGTTGCTGTAGCTGTTGCTGTCCCTGTGGTTGAGGTGGGATTTATACTCCGAGGAAGCGTTTGGGTTGCTCAAACTGGCCAAGCTGGTCACGCTGAGGGTCCTCTTGTTCAGGCTGATGTTGTTAAGGTCCTGCCAAACGGAGGAAAACACGTCAAGACAAGATGCTCCGGCAGAGAAAGTTGGGGATTATCCCAGGATATTTCTGTTGGGGTTGTGGGGGGCTATTTCTGGCAAGACTATCTGTAGCTCCAAAGCAGCGAGGAGAAAGGCCCAACTAAAGCATTAGTCCAGCACCTCCATAAATGCTACACCTTGACATTAGGGCTGCTAAAAGCACACACTACTGAGAGCTCTTAGAAATAGCTGAGGGTACTTACAGCAGTCTCATTCTTCTCAAGATAACATCAGGGGAAGGTACATGTGGGAGGACAGAAGCTGAGATTAGACATCTACCATGCCTAAAACCTCAAAATTACCTGCATACCCCTCCCTGATGGGCCATCTCTCCTCATCCAAACCTGCCACTTCCTTCCAGCCTTCATCCTGACCCTGGCCAGGGCAGAACTGACCCGTGTGGCAGTTGCATTTGGGACTCCTGGGGTCTCCTT